CGCCTTCCTGTCTTCTCTTACCTTTAGTATATTCTTACCTCTGGCTCTACCACCCTCAAGTAATAGTTTCTTCGCTTCGATGTCAAGTTCAGTTTTCCATCTGTTCACCGTCTGAAAAACTTTTCCACTTCCTCTCTCCATCCTTAACCCGCAGGTTTAGATGGTTCAATTTCTTACCTGCCACCTGGATAGATGAATGGTTTCATTTTTTTCAGAAGCAATCGCTCTTGCTGACCAAGAAGCAATTTGAGGAGGAAAGCAAAGAATCAAGCCTTGTTTATGCCCTAATAGTGAAAGAAGTGAATAAACCAGCACATGCCCCTATCTCAGAGGTGCCTAAACCCCTCACCTCAACCGTTGGCTCATCTTTATAATTTTGATCCTGGCCCAGTCTTTTTAAATGTTTAGTATTGATTCCTGACTGCAGGACTGGGCCAAACCAAATGACAACCCACCTGATTGCTGTTCCAAGCTACCTCCACCTGTCCCCTCCTTTGGACACTTGTTCAAATTCAAAAATTCTTCTGACAACTTTTCTCTACCTTTGGACGTTACTACCCAAGCAAAGGTCCTAACCCAATCCTCTGTTTTTCCATTTAAAGTGGAAGACTGGGGTACTGCTTTCCTATCACTAGCTTTTACAGTTTCCTTCCCAGTGTTAACTCGAACTTGGTGGCCATGTCAACATCTTCTTCCCCATTCTCCACCATCTAGTTTCTGTAGATGTTGCAATCCATACCCTGTGTTCTACATTATCTGAAGTTAATTCCAAAGACCTTGGGATAAGCTTTGGCTTTGCTCCAGCCACATTAATTTGCACAGCACTCAGGTTTGAAGCATCAAAGGAAATCATCTCACCACACCACAGCTTCGCAACTTTCCTGAACACCTCCATCTTCCATAGATGGAAAGGCAACCCAATAATTTTCAGATAGAGAAGTTCTGTGGGTTCTACCAACTGTTCATTGCATAAAGGTGTCCATTTCTCCAAAACCATCACACCTTGCTCTGTTACAGCCGATACAGTAGCAAAATCCAGAGGAATCCCCTGAAAATACACTACAGCTTTGTGGTCATCAAAGGGAGAAATCTGCATCTCTGTAGTCTTCAATATCTATTGGACTTCTTCACTTAGCCTCTCCCAATCTTTTACTTTCTTGTTTACCGAGAGGACAAGTTTAAACTGCCAATCCTCTTTAGGTTTGTTCACCCACAATTTCATCAAACCTAGTCCAGCTTCAATCTGCAATTTACTTCCCGTCCCTATCTCCTCTTCTTCTGGGATCTCCCTGAATACTTTCCCCGACTGCCCTTCAGATTGTTCCTTAATTTTTTGACCACCTTTTAGAGCACCTTCTCTGTCATTAGTTACCACCATAAACTCCTGAATTGCTTCTGCTAACTGGCCCCATCCCAAGGCCTCCCTTCCTTCAGGGAAACAGGTAAACCTGCTTCAACCCCTCACCAAAATGTTCCTGCACTCCCAAAAACCTCCCGTACTTGTTTTCTTTTCTTTCAGCTATGTACTCCCTGTTCTGTTCCATTAGACAACATCTCCATTCCCTTGTTTTTTCTGTTATTTTAGCTCCACCGAGAACTCCTTGGAACCATGGTACCTCCCTTCTTTCAAGAAGCAAAGAAGCTTTCCTCGATTCTACAATCTTCAGAGAGAGTCCATTTCTAGTCCAGATTTCTTCCAAGACAAGTCTTCGCTTCCACCTTCAAAATTTTCTTCCATCTTTTAGCTCGCAGGAACTGACCTTCCATCTCCAAAACCCAATTTGTTCAAATTAACCCCTTGACAAAACAAGATTGTATCACTTACAAACTGCAAATGTGTGATCTCTTCTCCCCTCTCCACCCTTGCACCAAATGTCTCAAATCTACCCTTGTAATAAAGTCTACTAAGAACATCTGCCATAAGAGAATGGGGAGAGAGGTCCCCTTGCCTAATCCCATGCCTGGCAAGTAAAAAATCCACGACTGTGACATTGGCTTGGACTGAGTACCCATATGTATTCAAACAACCCCAAATCCAATTGCACCATCTCTCTCCAAATCTAAAATTATTTAAGACATCTACTAGGAAAGTCCAATGGTCCCACTTGCAAATTCAACATCTTTTTCTTAACTTTTTCATTTCTTCAACACATTCCTTTGCAATCAGAATTTGATCAATAATTTGTCTATTTTGCACAAAAGCCCCCTAATTCATAGAAATAATGGATGGAAGAACTTTCTTAATTCTTGTTGACAAAACCTTGGCTATTGTTTTATATATAGACTATTCACCAAGCTTATGGGTCTAAAATCTTTAGGATGAATCACCCCTTTCTGTTTTGGGATCAGGGCAAAGAAGGTGACAATCAATCCTGGATTAATCACTCCCCTCTCAAAAAAATTCACTAAACACCACCATCAAATCATCCTGTAAGATATCTCAACAATCTTGATGAAAGGCCATTGTGAATCATTTTGGACCTAGAGCTTTGTCTTTTTTTTTTTTTTTTGGTAATTGATGATGCACTTTATTGTTGTTGATGTTGTTTTACTTTGATGCAGCTTTTCTTAGGTATTATTATCTGCATGATATCACTACACATGTATTTTGCCCCTTCCAACATGCTTGTAGATTTGCCTTTGACTGTGAAGGCATTACCACAAAGTCTTGATGAAATTTCTGTCAATAGAACTACTGATTCCTGATGTAAGGTACCATACTTACCAACGTAACTAATTTGTATCAGTATTTACTGAAAGTTATGTAGCATTTCTCTCACTAGATAAAATTTGATACAGAGAATAATATATGAGATGTGGCAGCTAAGATGGCAATGGGTCCTTCAATGGAGCCATGCCATATAGATGCCAATCTTCGAGAATTCAGTTTCATCCTGGGGATGAGCCCTGTCTGATATCCAGGCCTAACCAGTGAAATTTTCTGAAATCCTTAGATAACTGGTCAAGACGATGATACAACAAGGATGTTTGAGAGCTTGGTAATTTGGTTGAGATTTAAATTTATCAACAAGGTGCCTCATTCTCCCCTTCAAGTTTTCCTTGCAGCATTATTTCTCGGATGTCACTGGTGCAGACTGGCAGAATCATCGTTGATTTGAAAACATCACTATAGGAGAAAGACATGTCAACAGCTGTTAAGCTGTGAAATGTCATTATTACCTACATTTATATATCCTCTTCAATCTATAATGTCCAACTAATTTGACTAATCTATGATATCTCTTGTCCCGTCCAATTATAGACCTCACTCTTGACCTAACCATATGATTTTTTTTTCTTTCGAATTCACAGACAAATTTTCCAGTGATTGTGTAATTTCAAATGGTTAGAATCTTTTGGTTATGTTACTTCCAGGCTAAGGTGATTGATTTCATTTTATTTTTTATTTTTTATTTTTTTTTTTATCAGTGTTGGCTTCGTTTTATTTCACTTTGCTGTGGTGGGTGAGGGGAGTAAGCGCACAAGTTCATTTGTCTGAAAAAGATAATTGCCGGTTGTTAATAAAACATTTATGAGTGTTGTGCAATATGAGTGTTTTTTTGTTTTCATTTGTTTTTTAAATTGTCGTACCGGCAAAAACAAGTCAGATTTTCTTTTCTTTTTTTTTTTTTGAACAAAATGATGGTTTAAAGAAAAAAAAAACGAAGTTTGTAATACAGATAATAGATATTATATGATATATGGAACGTGATTTATTAAATAACCAGATAAAAACATTCTTTTAGACCAAAAGGTCCAAAACCAAAAATTCAAGGTGCCAGCTGGTATAGTTCTGGTTTCAAGCAGGTTTTTTTTTTTTTTTTGGTAACACAGGTTTCTGGCTGGTTATGGATTATCTCTAGTTGTCTAGCCCCATTGAACAAAAAAGAAGAAAAACAGAAATTCAACATCATTTTTTTTTTTTCATTTTGAAAACGAAACGTGCATACAATCAAGAACACGCTTTCTGTGTTTTTGCTTTAAGAATCAATTTGTTTTTAAACCAGATTTTTTTAGTTTGATTTTAGAACTCATGGCAAGAAAGAGGGATTCACATTCAAGAAAAAGCCCTTGATGTGAAGTCGGGATCTACTGCAGGCAAAAGCTCTGCACACATAGCATTCAGCCACACATGGGACTTTGGGAGTATCTCTTGTACATGTTCCCGATATTCATGCAAGCTTGCAGAAAATCTGTGACCATGCCACTTTTCTTGGAAGTGGATCCATTCTGGCTACTGATACGAGTTTATTAAGATTTTGTTGAAAATTAAGTCTTTTATTTGGGACTAATTCAGGGTATGTTTGGTGCCGATGCCATTGCCTAGGTAATATCTTTTTCTTGGATTTCAGGAGAGCGATTAATTCTGCACAAAATCCAAAAAACATTATTATATCGGTGTGTATCCTTATTTTAAGACAGGCGCCAATAGGTGTCGTGTAGGAAAAAATGCTTCTCCCCACAATAAACATCCAAAATGACATAAATCGAGACAAAATTGACCGTTTTTTCCAGAAAAAAAAAAATGTCATCTAAATAAAAAGTTATTATTCATTGCAAAAAAAAAAACTAATGGCTCTGAACTGACAGCATTTTTTAAAAAAATGACAAAAAAAATAACACTAAACACCACCTTTTGGTTGATAAGGTCTCCAGCTAATCATTAGGAAGACTTGGGATTGAATCCCGTCTGCACCTAAATTTCGGGGATTATGAGTTGGGGGATGGACTACCTCCCGTTTGTATAGCCCTTCAGAAGATATATATAAAGCTCATTCCATCATTGATAAACTTGCTGGGTATCTCAGTTTCCACACGTAAAGATAACAAACAATTCAAATTACTTTTATTTTACTCAAAAAAGTACTACTATATCTTTAAAATAATTGAGCATGTCTAGGATCCGCCCATGACAGGTTCTTAACTCTTTACATTACCAAATACCAAAGAATGAAACATTATTCAGATTATTACAAAAAAAAAGAAAAAAAAAAACATAATTCAGGTTGAGGAAGTACAGGTTATTACCAAAAATACTTTAATTTTACCCACACTTGCTACCAGGGTTTTTAAAATCGGGTCGGACAGAGAATCGTTATGTGGTCTAGTTTTTGGGTTGAATGGTCCGAATGGACGGCCCATTCTGACAAGAATATTAAAACAAAAAACAAAAAAAGGCTCAAAATCATTCCCAAGTCAAAAAGTTTGACAGTTCAACTGCCTAGATCAGCAGTTGATTGATCAAATCAATGATTTTTGGCCAAATAGAAGTTTTAAGATAAAACTAAAGTGACTGATTCTCGGTTTTTTCGATCCCTCTAATCCGGTCTGATTTTGAAAACATTGCTTGCAACAACAGTATAGCCTGACACAGTGTAGTAGCAAAGTTAAACTCGTTATCATTTGTTCCACTGCATGGTAAACAGGCCATTGTGTTCGGCAGCTAATCTGATCTCTAGGTTTCCACGTGGATGCATATTTATTCTAATTTATTTCACTCACCACATGGCTGGTTCACAAGTTGTATAAAAAAACAAATGATGGTGGCTCAATTGTGGGGTGGGAGGTATGGAGACGGACCACAGTTGTGTAAGGTATATAAAACCAGATAAATATAAGCCATATTTCATGCTGATGTCTGATCCTAAATTCTCTTAATTAATTAAAGCAAAATTTCCTTATTAGTAACTTGTACTTTGGGCTTAGTACCACTTTGGTTTTTGAGCTTTAAATCGTAACAATTTGATATCTAAAGTTCTAAGTTTCCAAAATATGCTAATTCAGTGTCTGTCGTTAATTAGTCATTAAGTGACATGTAAAAAAACACAAATGTCATTTAGGTGTCATTTAATTTTTTTATCAACCATCTAAATGTCCTCAAAACTAAAACATTGTTCATCATCTTCTTCCTCGAGAAGATGAAAGAGGTACAAGTATTAATTTTGCAAGGGAATGGTAATGATCCAGCTCCCACAAAAGAACATTAGTCAAAAGAAAACGAAATGGCGGTAAAGCTTTACATAACTTAGCTCAATCATTTTTTTTATTCTTTGGGCATGCTAAGTGGGTCAAAGATTAGTTGTTAGTGACTTAGTGTGTCGTTAATCATTTCTTTGGATATCCAACTAACGAATGTGACAAGTGTTGAAACCCCAATGGGTTTGGTTCTTCATCATTGCTTTGTTTCAACCTTAATACCTAAGGAAGAAAATGATGAACGGTATTTTGAAGACTAATTTTGACATTTTCAAAATTTTAAATTACACAAGTTATCAAGTGATACACATAACTGATGACTGATTAACGATATATACTAGATTGACACATTCTAAAAGTTCAGATACAAAATTATCACATTATAAGGTTCAAGGACCAAAATAGCACTAGGCCCAATGTACGAAGTACCAATCAGGAATTTTCTCTTAATAAAATTGACAATGTGGCCTGAATCTCTCAATCTTTACAAAGCATATACACAATCTCGAGTTTTTACTTTAAATTATTTATTTACAATCATATAAAACTTGTAAGTATTGTTATAATCGTATCTTGATTTTTCATCTATATCTATGCATATCTAAAGTGTACCTCTATACGATTTTTAAAATTGTTTTTCTGACACATCTAACGTTTCAGATACTTTGAACCTTGGTAGCACCTTGAACTTCCCATATGAATATATTATTTGGACCCAGATGTATATGTCCAGGTTTTACAACGGAATGTACCCAAGAAGATGCAGAATATTACTTACAACGAAATTATGGATTGGTATGAGGATAATGATGAAGAAAAATCTCCATATTTTTAGAGTTAGAGCTACATCACTGTAAATTGTGGTGGCCAGCAGTGGCAACTTGCCTAGTTGAGTACAGTGACCACTGCAGAAAATGTACTAATCCAGGAAGAAGTGGGTTTCCAATGAACCAGGTAATGCACTGAGTCCAATCGAAGATTCTATCCCTTCATTGGATATGTACCAAATTGTCCTTCACTCTAGATCCATCCCAATCTCCACCAGGTTTTAAACATTGATGCATTCAATATGCATGAACATACGTATCAGGTGTTTCGCGTGATCAAAAACCTTATTTTTCTTCTCATATTTTCACCGGGAAGTCATTTTTGTGTTATTTAACCATAAGGAAAAAGAGTTTTCAAAAATACCTGAATATAGGCTTATCATCGAGAGGGATACGGTACATATTGTATCATAACTTTGAGCCTTGCTATCATATCAAGCACATTTAGAAGCTGAACCCCTTGGAGCACCTTGTTCAATTCTCTGTGAAAGACTGGTTCATAAATAAATGAAGAGTTGTAAGATTGGATTGTTTTTTGTGCTCCAGGTATTAACAGGATCCTGATTAGGGTTGCAAGTCCAATTGTTCTACTTGAAGAATTTTAGCTACATCTGGCTGGGTTACTGGTGTGTTTATGTTGTGATTATAGTGCCTTGTGCCTCTAGATTGTTTTTTCAGTTGTATCTCTCTAGATTGTTCTTTTTCCACAAGTGCAAACCCTCAAATAAATCAACGAGTTCATCAAATACACCATATATCTAATCATTTCAGCTATATTAAAATGTGAAAAAACTTGTTTGTACGGGTGTCAAATGGGCAAGTTTGAATATATCCACCAACCTGTTAATGATCCACCAAATTAAAATTTCAAATTAGATGGGCTTTCAATCCAAACCCACCTTGTTCCAACCCACTCAACCATTAATTTTGAAGAGAGAGAGGTTTCGGCCTTTTGGGCTATTAATCAAAGTTCACTCTGTTCCTTTTCAAATTGACATCTTGAATAAGCACAAATTACTCAAAACATCTAGGACTACTACAAGCAGAAAATGGGCATAATCCTTTTCTTGATCCATGGATAGCCAACAAAAAAACTCTTGATTTCCACTGAAACCTTTGCTGCTGTAAGATGTGCTGCTTTATTTGCCTTATGGTTTACACAGGACAGCTTTACAGTTTATACTTGACCATTGCATAGCTTGATCGCATCTTGAGCAAAGAAGCAAGCCTTTTTTAAGCAATAAATAACAACGTTTTAAAAAACGACCCGGAAACGGAACCGTTTTGAGCACCGGTTTTTGGGTTAATGGTCCAACCGTTTGGTTTGAACAGATGGTCTGTTCTGACAATAAAATTAAAATAAAAAATAAAAAATAAAAAAATGGTCAAAACTCGTTGAATGGATCAACGGTTCGATCACCCAGGTCAATGGTTTGTTGACTTTTTCAACGGTTTTTTATCAGATTCCGAGTTTGGGGTAAAAAGGAACCGCTTGCCTGGACGGTTCCCAAGCCGAACGGTCCAACTGTCTAGGTCAACGGCGGTTCGAAAACGTTGATAAATAAAGCTCCCTTTGATAACAAGTCAATAGCTAGCTTGCAATCTCCTAAATTAGCTTTGACCAACCTGCAATAGATGAAGCCTAGGGGTGTCCATGAAAAACCGAAAAACCAAACCACAAAATGTGGTTAACCGAACCGACCAGTATATATATTTATATGTATATATTTAATATATGTCACATGCTATATATAAATATATATTCATTATATATATATATATATACTTATATTATATTTATAATTATCTATTTATAAATATATTATATATTTTTAAAATATTTATAATATATTATATATAATTTTTTATTTATAATATAATATTATACATATATTTATATAATACATATTATAAATATAAAAAACCGAAGAACCGAACAATTCAAAAACCGAAACTAACAGACCGGTTAACCAATGGTACCGGTTCGGTTTCAGTTTGAAGAAATGGAAAAACTGGTACCACCAATTCAGTTTGCAAAAATTGCCCATGATTCAATTAACTGAACCGTGAACACCCTTATTGAAGCCTCTAAAACTCTGAAAGATGGTTGCAATTCGACTTGTTCATGGACCGGGCTCGGGTTTGACTTTTATCAAAATTTTAATGAGCCCGGCCCAAAACCCAAGCCTGAGACAGTATAAAGTTGGGCCCATAAACAGGTCTAGTTGCAATGGATATCCGAGTGGCACCAATCAATTTTTGTTTTGGGTTGATAAGATTAGTTTGTCAAGGACTTGATAGAAGTCCAACAGTCTGTCCTCGTTGTTCGTTGTTTTCATCATATTTAGAACTTCTGCACTCTGGAAAAGAAAGATGAAACAGGTAGGACGTAGGACGGTAAGAGTAGGATTACCGATTAGCTTCCACTTCCAGATTGTATATATTCTTCATATCAATGGCTAGAAAGCAAACAAGAGGTTACATCACATGATCAGGAATTAGAGTTTGGGATCACCTTCATTTGCCACATGTTGCTAATTAGGTTCAAAATATCAATACACCTGATACATCGGTAAAGGCATGTCCATAGTTTTTATTTTCAAATCTAGTTTAGAGGGGCCAGCCTAAGGTCCGTCCACCCCTGAAGCAGTCAAAACCCCGATACACCCTATGTAGAAGCATATCGGGAAGTTCCTGATATGATACGTATTGACCGATATGGCCGATACGTATTGATACTTTGAACTTTGATAAATAAAGATTAGAATATCGATACACACTTATCCCCATATCTCGTAATGATCATGGGATTGGAGAAAGGTTCAAAATTTTGATATATATTGGGCCGTATCGACCGATACATATTATATTGGGGGCTTCCCGATATGCCTCTCCATAGAGTGTTTTGGGATTTTGACCAGTTCAACGGGTGGACCGGCCCCTCTGAACCAGATTTGAAAAAAAAATTAACAAAAAAACTACTGATACTACTCGATACACCTCTACCGACGTATCAGGCATATAGATATTTTGAACCTTGGGTTGGAGAAGACAATTGAGATCTATTAAATGTTTCAAAAAAACTATGTATTAATATATCCAAACATATCAGGATAAGGTTGAAGAAAGGAAAGACCACCCTCATATCCATGCTGATGCTCCAGAATGGTTTTAAAAACTATTTTTTAGTTTTTAAAAATCATCTTATTTACCAGCTCAACTCAATGTTTTAAAAATTAGACTGGACATAGAACTGTTTGGCCACCGGTTCCCGTGACAAACAATCCAACTGTCCAGTTTGAATGGATGGCCTGTTCTGACTTAAAAAGTAAATAATATATAAAATGGACAAAATAGTTATTCGGGTCAACAGTTTGACTGTGCGGACCAACAGATCCACTAACCAATTCAACAGTTTTTTGCCCAGAAACGATTTTAAGGTGAAACAAAACCAGCTGCCTGGATGGGTCAAGTCCGGTTTTCAAAACCATGGCTAAAGTATACTATTTTCAGAATCAAATAAGAGTTGTTTACTATGAAAACCGGGGAAAAACATAGTTGATATCATGTTTAAGCTCAGTTCGCTGAACCAAAAAGCCTATTGCTTTTTCTTCTAGTGAAAGGCCGAAGTTATGGAAAGTTTGGGGACACGTGACAAGTTTGACAAACAAACAATTAAGCTGGGAGACATCAGTTTTTAACTGTCTAATTCCATTCCACATGAGCTCGGATCTCCTACCTGCAAACTGTTTCCACATCTATACCCACCGAACACTATATGCATGCATTGGGAATATCTTCTTTGTAATTCATGGGGAGATATTCCTAGTACAAGACGTATTGTCTTTGTTGATATGGATGCGGGAACAGTTTATAGATAGAAGATTCATTTTACACAGCCTGAGCAAGTAGCAACCATTTTATGTACCCAATTAAAGGATCTTTAAAATAAATAGAAGAATTAAAGGGTTACCTGCATCAAGCACAATGAATGATAAGATTGGTTCAGAATTACGTTTTGTTCTGAGAGGTAAGATTGGTTCAAAACCATAAAGCACAATCACAAAAACTAACATTCAACTGATATCAATTTGTCCAAAAGAAATTAAAAAACAAAAAAAAAACAAAAATATTTCCCACTTGGTGATCAGAGAATAGTACAAAAATATTAAAATAACATTTGCAGACCAAGACAGGAAAGCTTGAATAATATTGATAGAAGATTGCCATAAGAAGTGAACCATACAGGTGAGGGAAATGATGAGAAAGTAGCTGAAGAATTGTTCTGGCATAAATTTTGAACTGCAAATGACAAATCAACAGTTAGGAAAGTCCAACTAATACAACCATTTGTAGAGTCATAGCATTTATAATTTTTATTTAATCAGTGCAAAATTATACACCAGTTGGTGAAAGGCAAAAGAAGCCCCATAATATTACATTAGTGACGAGCAAAACTCAAAGTCTAGTGTACTTGACAATACAGCACAAAAAAGGAACTCAAGAGAGAACCAGCCCTATAAATCAAGAACCTATGCCTCTTCATAGAGATTGAGCACCTCTAATGGGTTAGAAGAAGTGTTTTAAAAGGCATAGGAGGCATACGCCTAGAGGCGTGCCTCCAGGCAAAGTGCCCCCAAAACACCCAAAGGCACATGTCAAAGGCATTGGCACCTTTGAGGTGTATGCTTCATATGCCTTTTTCATGAGTGCTGGTGCCTCACACACATCTCATATAAAAAGACAAAAAAGAAAAAAAAAAGGAAAGAAAAAAAAAAGAAAAGGGAAGGAAAAATGAGATCCTCCTTCCACTTCATCCTTTTTCTTCCTCCTCATTCCCCTCCTTGTGTTTGGAAAGCTTATGCCTCTTACCTTCTGAACTACGCCTCATGCCTCTAGGTAGTGGAGAATGCCTCTCTTACACCTCCATGTTTTAAAACATTGGTTAGAACCATAATTTCAGTCAGATAATCTCATCAGATGTAGTTACAGAAAAAACAAATAAACAAGTAAACAATTGCAAACAATGCACAGATTAAAACAAGACTTTTTTATTTTTAGCCAAAGCAGCATTGGCCTGGAACACTTTAGTACTCTATTTCAAGAATCGTAAATAAATTACTCCCTTAAAAAATCTATGCACCTAATTTTATACATTTATCACTAATAACAATCAATACAAAAAAAGGAGGAAAATAAAGGAACTTACTTTGGCACATAAACTGCTTTATCCTATTATTCTCTTAATTATTGTCCTCACTATCACTTTGTGATAATTCTTACTCTTTCCCATACACATTCATCTACATCATCACCGTCATCTTCAGTTTCATCCAATTGGTGATCATTTGATATTGTTTTAATCTTGGTCTTTGAAGCCTTGTCAATCTGTTAAACAGGAAAAAGGGTAGTATAATCAACAACCTCAAACTGAAAATATTTAAACTTAATAAAGAGAAAAGGTTAACCTGTGCTGATATAAGCTGCCAACAGCCAGACAACTGTAACAATAGGTTGAACAGCTTTTCCTTTGCATTCTGTCATCTGGAAAAAGGAAAGCATGATCTAAGCACAACCATCATTGCGTGCTTATTAAATGAGAAACTGTTTTAATTAAACTGCAAAGATATATTTTAAAAGAAAATGGAAGTCAAATATTAGGAAATCACACCAGGGAACCTATTTCTCATAATAAAGATTGAAAAGCTCCAGATAACAAGCAAGATAACAATTCTAACAGAAAAGGCAACTGAATAGCTATATTAAATTTCATGGCCAATAAGATTGTGAACCAGATAAAAGTAGAGAATGTCATTTGGCAGAATGAAACAAGACTGTAATATAAGCATTGGATCAAAATCCTATAAGAAGCTTACAAGTCCAATGCCATAGTTTCTAGTTCAGGGTTTTACTTTAATGTTTCAATACTCAAGTAGATTCCTGATTTGTTTTCTGGAATTGTATAAGACCTACTCAGTAATTGGTAGGGTATAAGTAGGAGTTGGAAAGGAAAGTTGCATGAACCCTATTGGACTTCTTATTGTTAGGTAGTAGGATCATGTACAGTCTATGCAACTTTGTGTACATCATTGGCTAATAGGACTCCAACTTCCAAGGGATTAAACAGAGGTAAGTCCATTATTTCTATTAGGACTGTGCAAGTCAGCCTCAATCTTCTTTGAATATTAATTATTTCCAAATCTAGTACACTTTCCGTAATTTCTTTTAGAGATCCACACTTTTTTATCAATAACATAAACTTTTATTGAAATTAAGAGAGAACAAATACAAGTAAAGGGAGGGGTAAACTCTCTTAACCCTCCCCAAAAACAAGTTCAGGTTACAACAAATCCCAAAATAAAATTATCCTTCTAAGTGCATCAGCAAAAGAATTAGCACTCCTCTTCACCCATTGCAGCTTTATCTCCATTTTTTATTTTTCTGATCAATAACAGAAGTTTTCAGTAATGAGAAATACTCAATTACAAAAGTGTGTGGAGGTAAACTCTTTCAACTCCCCCTACTTATTTAGCAAGTTCATCTACAAATGAATTGGCACATCTTTTGACCCATTGCACTCTCACCTCCATACCCTGAGTTAGCCACGTGAAGTGCCTTCATTCATTAATGTATGCTCACAATCCATCACTTCCATCCCTAACCAATTTATTACCACCTTAGAATCTCCCTCAATGATCAGCTTGCTAACACTTAGTTCCGTAGCTCTTTTCACACCTTCCATCAAAGCCATAATGCACGCAACGAGTCCCCCACCCCAATTGGGCCTGAGAACAATGCTAATGATAGAACCTTTATTCGTCCTTAAAAACTCATCTAATCCCTGATGGACCAGGGTTACCTTCACTGCTTCCATCAAAGTTTAGCATGACAAATCTGCACAAGGTGGAGACCATAGAGGCTGAGCAACACTTTTGCTTGAAGCAGATGCTGTCATTTCCTTCCAATTGTTTAGCAATGTCTCTGTATGGCTGTCCTTGAATATCTCCACTGTTTTTACCCAGTGCACCACCCTAGAAGTGATCACTTCTATGATTGCCTCTTTACTTCTCTCTTTTTTGGCAAAAATTCTTTGGTTTCTTTCCACCCAAACTGTCCAACAAACCGCTGCCCTTATGCATCTCTACAATATTCTTCCCCTCTTTTTCGTCCAGCAATCAGCAAAAGAATCAAAGAGACTTTGTAGACTTGGTGGGGGAGTCCACCTACAGCCAAACAAAGAAAGAAACCAATCCCAAATAGAAGAAGCAAATAGGCAGGAAATAAATAAGTGGTAACAAGATTCACCACTGGAAGAAGGATGTGAAAGTGCTTTGAAGGAGGCACAAGTAAACGATCCAAAAGAAGAGAGGGTCCAAATTCAAGAGTCCAACTTAGAGGGATCCAACAGAACCTTTTGGAGAATTTGGATCAAAGCAAGACATTATCCACATCTGAGTGTCTCTGAAGCCCAATTTAGTTCAGGCCCTAGAGAAGAAGAGGATAGAAAGGTGGAAATAGGCTCATTTTTGTAACTAAAAAGAGAATATATAACAAAGGAAACTGGTCTTTAAGTGGTGAATTCCCCACCCACACATGTTCCAAAAATCTTACCCGATCCCCAGAACACAGGTTCTAACAAAGGGTAGAAAGTGAGGATGGATGCTTATAATCAATCACCTTTGTCAACAGTTTGTCCTTATCCTTCAGTAATCTCCACAACCATTTCCCTAACAGCACCGAATTCCTCTTCTAAATGTTCCCAAACCCTAATCCATCAGACTCTTTATATCCCCAGCTCTTGGGTCAGCCACTTAAACTTCTTTTCTGTCATTGGAAAATTTCCAGCAGATCCATTCTTTCTTTATTTTCTAGACCTTTCTTTGCTCCTTCCATTTTTCTTAAAGAAAGATCTGAAATAGTTTATCCCATCCAAGCCCGAACCGCCTTATTACTCCTTAATTCTTAGATTTAAGAATCACCAATTGCAACCATCAATCATCAGTACTTAATTCTCCAGTCATTCAACCAAATTATTGTTTGCTAACAAAAACATGCCAATGTACACAAACACATAATCCTATTTCCAAAATGTGATCTAAACCTATGATTGTTTCCTTGGAAATAAATCCCGAGTATTTATCTTTTATTATCCCTAAACCCAGAACCCAATATCCACATTTAGAAAAACAAATTTACGAGCTGGACCTTGAATGAGAGACCCAAGCTATGTCAGTGGATGAGATGGAGCCACAGCTCAAATCAGGAATTATCAAACTCTAGATCTTGAACCTAAAAGTGTACAGCTGACCAGGTCCAGAGTTTTGGTAACTGGCATAGTTAGTTACAGCTATCCTTTGAGGAGAAAGGATAGTGACAAACAAGTTCAAACTAAATTGGTTGAGTAAATAGAAATGGATGACTAAAGCAACTTATAAGTTTATTTGGGGCTTCTTCAATTAATAAATAAAGGTTTTGGATGGAACTGAACATAAAATTTAAGGTTTTCGATAAGCACACTATAGATATTTCAAGAAAGAAATACAGAAAAACAAATTCAGAGATGAATTTTATAATTCTAAAAGAAAATCAACTGAGTTTAGAGGTTGAGGGACATAGCTTGGATAAAATAAATGGAGTTGAACCACCCCAATCATATATAGAGGTTGACGGGCATAACTTGGATAAAATAAATGGAGTTGAACCACCTCAATCATCTCCAACTATCAGATCCACACCAAGAATAGATGAGACCCAAGAAGAGTTATACCATTTAAGAACTAGCAAACATTATAACTTGACTGCATCAAGAGAGTTGCTCTCCCATTTCAGCCGAAGCAATGGACATTTTACCGCTATCTTTTGCCGGAGCCCAGAGGGACCTCAGGTAGAATTGGGGAAGTAATGCTGTGTTTGGTTTGAAGGAAAAAGTAGGAAAAGGTAAAGAAATCTATACAAAGATTGTAAATGCTTTCCTATATTTCCCTTTATTTTCTTATCTTTTCCTTCAAGCTAAACATAACATAAACACAGGGTATAGGCTAAAATATAAGTGGGATGTAAGTAAAAATTGTGAGGATTTTAAAGCCAATAGGGGTGCCATGCTACCCTGGCCTGTCAGTAAAACACAAATCAACCATGTGGGTCCTATATTAATAAGAAAATTTAAAATAAGCAATTAACACCTATTTAAAACTAATTGCTGAATTGAGTAGGTAATTGTGCAAAAATGAGAAAAGAACTTGGAGCTTCTAAATAAGCGGAATTTAAAAATTATAAAATTAAAAAATAAAATAAAATAGTAATATAAAAAAGTACAGAGTGTCTAATAATTTCATCAAATTGATATAGTCAATAAATAAAATATATTAAGAAAATCATAAAATACAATAAAATATCATATAATCGTGCCCTATCTTACTTCATTTTCATTCTTTGAAAAAGCTCTGTTTCAGTAGTCATATACCGCCAATATATATGTTTATTCCATCGATAAGCATCTATGTTGGCAGTTTTAAAGACGTAGGACAGTGGTTTATAATTGCTGGTGATGTGTCGATTTTTGGGTGATGGCCAATTTTTGGTGCTAAGTACCTCGTCATTTGGTCTCCTTTCAAGTGGCCAATGACTTAGGCCGAAGTGGAGAACTTTGGCTGCCGAGCTTAGTCGAGCTAGGCAGGCTAGGTGGCGAGTTGACTATAGTGTCAAGCTGCCTATGAGGTGCCGAGCTAACCAGATGGCGAGTTGCCTGTGAGGTGCCGGGCTGACCAGGTGTCGAGCTGCCTGTGAGGTGCCGAGCTGACCAGGTGCCGAGCAGCCTGGCAGCGAGCTGACTATAAGGTGTCGAGCTGCCTGGTGAAGAGCTGGATTGATGAGCTTCGTTGCTCTTTAGAGACCTGCAAGGAACCAAATGTCAGAGGACCCGGGGTGGCTAACCCGGCGAGGTCACTCCAATGCTTAAGTCAGTACTCTCATAGTAGACTGCGAGCTAAAAATCACAAAGTATGAGAGCTAGAATTTGCTTACTTGCTTACTTGCCATTGGGGTTGGTGCCTTTATATAGGCATTGTTTGGAGTGGGCTTCACACACCATATCCGAGATTTCTGCGAGGTCGTCTAAGTGGTTCGAGATTCCTGGAGGTAACCGCCATGCACGTTGACCACCCTCCGGATCGTTCGGCACGTGGGCCAACTTCCAAGGATTGTGGGAGTGTTTGGATATGCATGCCGAATTTGTCGCCAAGCACGTCTCCCAGGACGCCAGGTCACACCAATGCTAGGCTGCCAACTCGTGCCTGTGCCAGGCCGCCAGGTCGCGCAAGGGCCAGGTCGCACCTGTGCCGGGCCGTGCCTGTGCCAAGCCGCCAGGTGGGACACCATCAACTTGGCTAAGGCAAGTTGTTGCCAAAGTGGTTCCGGGTGTCACCTAGTTATTCTGAGGTGCCATGTGTCACAATATCATTGGAGGGCCAAATCCACCCTCATCATTTTCCCCCCCACTCCCGAGCCGAAAGTAACTCAGTGAAGGGAGTAGATTTCTCCTTTTGGCCCGGAATGAATAATTCGATGAGCTCGTAAGCGTCGATTCAATTCCTTAGGCTCTGGGAGTGACTCACGGTCTGCTCCTTGATTTTGCCCATGCCGAAGAGGCGACTGGGTCTTATATGGTGAGGAGGTCTTCGCTAGTTCGGTATTTTGGCCCTTAGGCTCTAGGAGCGACTCATAGTCCACTCTCCTTGATCTTTCCCATGCCGAAGAGACGACTGGGTCTTATGTGGTATTTTAGCCCTTAGGCTTTGGGAGCGACTCGTAGTCCACTCTCCTTGATCTTTGATTTTTCCCATGCTGAAGAGGCAACTATCTCTTATGTGCTCATGCCGAGGAGGCGACTGAGACATATGTGCCCATGCCGAGGAGCCGACTAAGACTTATCGGAGTGTCGAGGTCTTTTATCAGATCCCAGTTTGCGCCTGGGCCAGGCCACCAGGTCGGCACCCGTGCCAGGCCACCAGGTCAGTGCCTAGGCCAGGCTGCCAGGTCAGCGCATGTGCTAGGCTACCAGGCCGCACATGGGCCAGGCAACCAGGCCGCACCTGGGCCGCCAGGTCAGCGCCTTAGAGCTACGACTGCGTTGCATCAGCCTCGTTAGTGACGTCGGTTACCCACTCCTACAAGAAGCTACTAGGAGCTCGACTTACGGGGGCAGCACTATTGACTTTAGGTCACCAGCTCGCACGGGAGCCTTGGAAGGCTCGACCAGCAAGGGCATCCATGCAGTCTGTTGGCCGCTTACTCCCGTGGAAGCCACGAAGAGCTCATCTTTGTAGAGGGTACCTCGTGAAGAAGAGTGATGAGGCTTTATCTGAGTTGAAATAAAGTTGGTAGAGCTGCTTAGTCTGTTGGTCGTCAACTTCCTGCATAGTCTTTGAGTTCATAAAAAATGGAAACTAGAAAGTGAGAGTTTTTAGTTTCTAAAAGGTGAGAACTTAGTTTTTCGGAAGAAGAGGACTTAGCCTTTCGGAGGATGAAAACTTAGCTTTTTGTAGCGTTTCCCACAGATGGCGCCAATTGATGTGTTGATTTTTGGGTGATGGCCAATTTTTAGTGCGAAGTACCTCGTCATTTGGTCTGCTTCCAAGTGGCCGATGACTCAGGCCGAAGTGGAGAACTTTGGCTGTCGAGTTGAGTCGAGCTGGGCAGGCTAGGTGGCGAGCTGACTATAGTGTCGAGCTGCCTATGAGGGGCCGAGCTAACCAGGTGGCGAGCTGCCTGTGAGGTGCCGGACTGACCAGGTGCTGAGCTGCTTGTGAGGTGTCGGGCTGACCAGGTGCCGAGTAGACCTGTTCATGGGCCGGTCCGGGCTGGGCTCGGGCCGGGCTTTGATTCTTTATTAACAGAAAACTGTTAGGCCTGAGCCCGAGCCCGGCCCGACCAATGGGCCTATAACTTGGGCCCGAGCCCGGCCCTGATAAAAAGCCCGAAGCCCGAGCCCGAAGCCCGACCTAATAAAAGAAATTCAAAATTTTCCCTATTCAAATGGACATTTTTTATTTTAATTTAGATGTTTTTTTCCCCTATTTAAATGAACAATGAGCCTACAAGTGAATCAATGACCTTCTCAAATCAAAAAATTTATTCAAATAGACATCACATAGGGTTTTTACTTAGGTTTAACTATAGATCGGGCCGGGCTATTTTGGCAAAGCCCGAGCCCGGCTCGAATTTTATGCAGGCCGAGCTTTTTGGCCCGAGTTTAAGCCCGCGGGCCAAAAAGCCTGTTCAAGCCCGTCCGGGGGTCGGGTCGGGCCGGGCCGGCCCATGAACAGGTCTAGTGCCGAGCTGCCTGTGAGGTGTCAAGCGGCCTAGGTGTCGAGCTGCCTGTGAGGTGCCAGACTAACCAGGTGCCAAGTTGCCTGTTAGGTGTCAAGCTGACCAGGTGCCGAGCAGCCTGGCGGCGAGCTGACTATGAGGTGTCAAGCTGCCTGGTGACGAGCTAGATTGATGAGCTTCGTTGCTCTTTAAAGACCTGCAAGGAACCAAATGTCAAAGGACCCAGGGTGGGTAAACCGGCGAGGTCGCTTCGATACTTAAGTCAATACTCTCATAGTAGACTGCGAGCTAAAAATCACAAAGTATGAGAGCTAGAATTTGCTTACTTGCTTACTTACCATTGGGGTTGGTGCCTTTATATAGGCATTGTTTGGCGTGGGCTTCACGCACCATATCCGAGATTTCTGCGAGGTCGTCTAAGTGGTTCGAGATTCCTGGAGGTAACCACCATGCACGTTGACCACCCTCCAGATCGTTCGACACGTGGGCCAACTTCTAAGGATTGTGGGAGTGTTTGGATATGCATGCCGAATTTGTCGCCGAACATGTCTCCCAGGCCGCCAGGTTACGCCAGTGCCAGGCTGCCAGGTCGTGCCAGGTCATGCCTGGGCCAAGCTGCTAGGTCACGCCAGTGCCAGGCTGCCAACTCATGCCTGTGCCAGGCCACCAGGTCGTGCATGTGCCAGGTTGCACCTGTGCTAGGCCGCGCCTGTGCCAGGCCGCTAGGTGGGACACCATCAACTTGGCTAAGGCAAGTTGTTGCCAAAGTGGTTTCGGGTGTCACATAGTTGTTCTGAGGTGTCATGTGTCACAATATCATTGGAGGGCCAAATCCGCCCTCATTAGCTGGCACATAGCTTCTCTAAAGAATGAAAATGGGAAACATGGGGCACAATTATTTTCCATGCCACAGGTTATCTCAATTTTTGGGTCATGGGCTGATTTTTCATTTTGAAAAAATAATGCTCATGGCAAGGCTTTTAATGATACCTGAAAATCCGAGGCCAATCCAACATCCAATTTGATTATCTCATATTCAAATGATGTATTTATGTAATCAGATTGGATTTAGATGTTATAATATACATCTAATTAATAATCAAATCATATTCGAATTTGACCTCATCTGATCCAATTAAAATCCAATTATTTTAAAATATTTATTGATTTTAATATATAAATTTTATATAATTATATATAAAATTATAAAAATATATTCTATATATTATATTATACATGAATTTAAATACATAATAACTTTAGTATGTTATATTTATATTAATTTATTATATATAAAAGTTGAAAAGTAATTGAATTTTTATTTTTTTGGTATTTTAAAAAATTAAAACAAAGTCGAATTAAATCCAAATCCGATCCAAGTCCATTACGCTTGGAATTTGAATATGAGGTCTTCAAATCTGATCGAATTTTGGATGCATGTTTTCATTGGCAGAATGAGGGACTAGAACAGTGAACCAGAATGGCCTTAACTTCACCGCTCTAGACATGTCTTGATGAAGCTTGACTCTGGATTTCCCAACCAAGGTCTCCCAAGAGAAAGGAATATCCATTCCTTCAATCAAAGTTGATAGTACACATCATCAA